TGTGTCGCCTCTGTTTGGAAAATGATGAACCATCATAACACATACTTTGTGCCTGTCGCGCTGGGGACAAAATCAGATTTTTAGAGTTCGGCAGAGCCGTACAATCTGACCTGAAAGATCACTCAGTAACAAACTAATCGGCTTAGTTGAGAAGTCGAGTGTGAATAGGTGTGAGCCATAATAAACTATTGCGGGTTGCGGTGAGGGGTCGAATAGACCCACTTCCTTTGGACCTAACCTAACCCAATCTAATACTGAAAACGCCTTATGAAAACACCTTGTTACAGATCGGGAAAATCTATTGTATATATTCTCGAATATTTGGAATATTCCAACGTATCGAACGATTATCAAAATAGTTTTTGAAAGCAGACCTTCCAACAAACTTATTTTATCTTCTTTTGGAACAATGCAGTTAAGAAACACCTAAGCTCCCAAACTGTTGCAACTTTTTCATAAGACTCAGAAGAATAGTAAACTTCGATGTTGAAGCCTGTCAGATAGTTTGCGATCGTTGTTTTCAGCTTTTTTTTTCTCAGTCATTCATGAGTCTCTACTATATATCCTCACTGTTAACGCTAGTGTTGTCTTCCACCGTTTTTTTTTATTATACATCAATGACCGAAGGCATTGCTTAAAAATCTAACGTTTTTTTGTTGATGAAAGCATACTTGTCTCTTATTCGTTTTCGGTAACAGCAAACAGTCTCAATGAAAATTTGAGAGAAATTTTGTCGCGGGATAACAGTAACCATGTAAAATTTAGTAATATGAAAATCCAGGCATAATTTTTCTCTAGGAAGATTAATGTGGCTAAACCAAACATCTTCATATCATGACACCCAATTTCGCTAGCTGCGTCCCTTGAATTTTTGGATATCAAATTGAATATCATTCAGTCTTGGCACAATCACTTACTTGCATAGCAAAGTCTTCTTCTTAGAAACTCAGAACATACATCGAACTACTTTACTCTCAGTAACTTTTAATGATTTATGAAGTTCATATTTGACTTTCTTTGGACTATTGCTTACATGAACTTCAGTAAAACATTCAATTTGCTATTCAGTATATTTGGCAGTTTCTACCAGAATATCAAATCGTAATAGTCATTACGACAGGTATAAAACTAAAATAGTATTTAGAGTATAATAATGATAGATAGATAAAACTTAACTACAAAATTAGTTTATTATCAGAAGAATCGTGAAATACAAATCAACTAACAGAATTTAGCTTGATGAAAGAGAAAAAGAAAAAAAACTCAAAAGTGCTGCTTCGTTTCCTCCTGTTCATAAAAGAGATATGTGCCTCCTCACTCACAAGCGATTTTGGTGAAATTGAAGACACGTGTGAATCGTTGTATTCATTCCACGTGCCACTATAAGGGTGTCTACAATATGTTGTGTAATACCCATTGTAAGTAGTCCCACTGTGATTCGAAAGTGCATATAGATTGTAACGACAACGAGGCACATTGTCTGCTGCATAATTGCTCATATCTAATCCTTCTAAAGGAAAGTCAATGGTAACATTCAATTTGCCTCTGAATCTTTCCGTTGAAGAGAATATTTTTGAATGAATTATTAGAATACGTGGAATCTTATGGATTATTAGAGACTTTGTGCATTTTTGTCTTTCCTTGCACCTCTAACAGGTTGGTGTTTCATCTCCATCCAGGGTTTTCTCTTTTGTGAAGAAATCCAAGCATTGTGACAAACTCAATTGACCAGTTCTTTGTGGTATGGGGAGAGACAAATCCCAGAAAGGGTCGAATGTTACTGATGAGTATCCACAGTGTAAGCACTTCATAGTAGACTTTGATTGACCAACGAAAGTGTCTACAATCTCAGAGTTGTTCATGTTCAAGTATCTCAGCTAGGACTCCTGCACTTTTTCGCTGTCGCTCTCCGAGAGATAGATATTATGATATTTTATTTTACATGTTATATTCAACAACAAGAATATTATACAGTACGAATATTTTAAAAATAGGTGTCTCATGAAAGATATCTAAAAACACGTCAACTTAAATTTTTCACGGCCCATCTCATGATATACATTTGAGATACATTTCATCACCGGTGTTGGCATGATGACGTGTCGTCATGTCATGTCATGTGATACCTGATTCAAAAGGTCTACTAATCGTTAATTCAATGGTATATTTATTTCAATATTTATTTATACAGGGTGAACCAAAACTTTTTATTAATTTAAATACAATGGAATTATAATAAATGTTCAATATTGAAAGCCGGAGAGTAAAATCATTTCTAGAGTTTTCGAAAACTTCGGGGGTTATTTGCGCAATCTCCGTTCTGATGCGTTTCAACTCTTCAAAATAATTTGGTCGATTGTGGTTAACTTTGCTCTGCAAGTATCCTCATGTAAAAGGCTAGCGGTATTGAATCCGAAGACCTTGGTGGCCATTCGAATTGTCCTCTTCTTCCTTACCTCGGAAAATAGTATTCAGGTAAGTTCGTACATCAACAGCGTAGTGTGGGGGCGCCTCATTCTGCTGAAACCACAAATCATCTCCATTTGGATTCAGTTGTGGCATCAGATGACCCCGAAGGAAGTGTAGATACCGAGCATCAGTTACGCTTTCTTCAGAAAAGTATGGCTCTATCATCTAATTGTTCAAAATTCCGGCCCAAACTTCCACTTTTTATGGACATTGTTTGCTATGCTCCTTTGGCCCAGTATCGATACGTCTGACGGTTTACGTGGCCGTTGAGCATAAAAGTAGCTTCATCTGAAAATATTATTACATGTATGAAACTCCGATCTGAGTTAAAGCGTTTCATAATGATCAGGTAGAATTCGACTCTTCTGTCAAAGTCATCTTCTAATAGCTCTTGTACCAGATAAACTTTATAGGAATGCCACATTTCTTTTTTCAACATTCTAACAACAGTCGATTGGTATAAATTATTATCCAGTGCAACTTTCTTGAGCTGGTTGGGGATTTTCTTGGAACGCAAGTACCACCTCAGGTTTTTGGGTTTCTGAAATCGATTTTCTACCAAAAAGCAGAAAAAAATCTCAAAACGATAATTAAATGGTTCGAAAGTAAATTATTGAGTATGCATATATCCAAAACATTTTACATTATCCTCACTTCGTGCGCCACATATTGATTACTTATTCAAAGAAAACTACGATTCGTTTTATTTTGATTTTTGAAATTGTATTCATTAGTATTCCAATTTCTGCAGAACCCACGCACAGGTATATCCTTCTGTGGGATTTCTATATTTATTCGGAAATTGCTTCGTTCAACTTGTGACATATATTTGCCAATATATGTTATTGTTATTATTTCAGGGAGATCTTTAACATGGTCCGTTTCTCGAAGCTTTTCCTAATTTTACTAATTGTTGATTGAGAAACGGGATCTCGGTTGTGGTATTTAGTATTGGATAAATCACAAACTTCTGCCTTAGTCCTTAGTATATCTCCACCTCCTATCATAACTTAAATTTGTTTTCGTTCGGTTTCTATAGGTCTCGTCGCTAGATTATAGGTGATTAAAATATATTTATTAGAAACCAGCGACCGACCCGGCTTCGCACGGGTGCAATACTGATATCAAATAAAAATTCACCCACCGGAAATTTAAGACCATTTTTGGATGTGATGCCCACTGAGACGCCCCTGGACATAATAATTTCAATCTAGTTTGGGCGCCTTATTACTCAAATAACTAGCAAATAACTACCATTCTTTAAACTTCATAACCCTAAATCTCAGAAACGAAGCAATTCTGGACATATGTTCAAAGGAACTTTTTTCTTAAAACGAGCTACCGAATCATCCTCTGAAGTTTGGTATCGTAGTTAGGAGTTTAGCACTATTCTTACTGCACTTTTTTGGACCCATCCGTTCGAAGAACGACGCACCTGTGAAATAAACTTCCCGAGAAAGTGTCGAAACATCTCCATGAAAAAAGTCACTCCACTATTCATAATAATAAGTTATACACCTGAAGTGTATGAAAAAGCCGTTCAACTGAATGTATGTTTTTCTCTTTTTCACTGTTGAACGACTGGTCGGATTTATACGAAACTTTGCATTGATACAGCTTATAAATCAGAAAAACATATAGCCTACAATTTACAAAGGTTCTGTGTAATTTTGGTCATAATATAACGATAATTATTGAGCGAATCTAAAAAATTCTTACTTCATGAGAGCTATCTCAACGTGATCTGCCTATACTGTTAGAGTTACACGTAGATAATGTACCGTAATATTGTTCATCTTAAACAGTTCTTAATAAAAAGTCCGCGATAGCATATATCTACCTGTTATGTGGCAACCAATTTATGCAAAATACTGAACCATAGATACAATTAAATTGGACACTTTTTTCACAGTGTACACTAAGTAATTTGAACGCATCGTTTAAAAGTTATCACGATGAGAATAACTTGACGCAACGCATTGAAACATTACGCGGTGCGTCTACTGTAAGACGATGGAGGACGATGTAGTGGGGTAGAGAAGCGGTCTAAGCAATGAAGTCACATCGCCGAGAACACGATCCGAATGTGAGCAGACGCGTGAGGGCAGAAGTCGTTGACGGTTGTGTTAGTTTTGCAAATTTCTTTATAAGTAACATAATTCGGTTCTCGGAGCTATTCATTGCTTAGTGCAGTTGGCAAATTTTCTCAATCACTGTATTTTTTAAGAAAAAATATAAATAACAAGATGTTGCCCGCTCTTATATTAACTTACAGCCGAAGCTACTGAAACTAGAACCTTGAAATATGCAGGTAGGTTCTTTGTAGCGCGTAAATAAACATCAAGAAATAAGTTTTGGGGTAATAAAAAATATTGTAAGTATTTGTTTGAAATGGTCTGTCACGAAAATTAATGTGACAAACCAAATTATACGCGGGCGAAGCTGCTCTTTTATTAGGAATAGTAACCACCATAAAACGAAGTATGGAAATCAATAATTCTTTTCTAACGGTCACTTCATTTTTATTTCAGCTCAGCGAAGAACTAGGCTACGTGCTCTATTCAGCTCTTGGGTCCTTCTATATCCCTTCCTGTATAATGGTATTTGTCTATATCAGGATATACTATGCCGCAAAAGCACGAGCTCGTCGAGGAATCAGAAAACCTCCCCGGCGGCAAGCACAGGATGCAGTAACGTGTTTCTCAAACAGCCCTGGGGTGAGTTTAAAATTATATTCGAAAAAAACAGGTATTTTGTGAAAACATAATTATGATATTTGGGGATAACATATATTCATAGTTATATGCTAATGAGTGAAATAATAATTACTGAATGTTAGATGTTTGGACATACATTGTTTCAAATGGTGTTAACAATTTCAAAATTGAAATCAAGTTAATTGAAATGAAATAAAAATCACGAATGACCAAGACCAAACTGTTAGTTGAAAAAGAAATGATAAAAAAGAAATGAATGAAAAGCGAATATGGAATTCAAAAACATGCGAATGATAAGTTGTAAAGAAAATAAGTTGTGACCTGAAAAGAAAATCAATCTATAAATGGATAAAACAATAAGTGGAATGTCAATACAATGCAATTGAAGAATAATAATGAATGAAAATGAAATAATGAAGATAATTGACGAACAAGAAATAAGAAAAGAGATCTCAAACCATGCTAGATCGCGACAAGTAGCTTCAATATTTTTCTTCGTTAGAGTAGAGCGAAGATTAGCAGATGTTTGTCAAGCTCTATCGGAACCTGAAACTCGAGTAATTAATAATAATGATAATGAATAATTTCATTGAAAGCTTACTCAGTACTAGAGATACTAACCCAACCCAAGAATATCAGAATTCAACATCTGCACATGATAAATCGAGGCAGAAATTGCTCATTCTTATGTAATCATTGATAGTTCACCAAATTATAACATTTGTAGGTTTCACAAGATAACGTTGAATACATTCCAATATCTATTCGTTTTTCCCCTCGCTTCTGATTATTATTTTATGGAAAATTCAAAAACAGTTTCGAATATGAGAAGTGTCATGGTATTTATTCCATGTTTTGGTGTTGTTAATGAATATTCTTTCCACCTTCTCTTTGTTCACTATTTTCATTTTTTCAAACTGAAGATAATTGATTGAAGAATTAGTCAAATACATATATTCGTATATTTTTCTGTTATTCAGAGGTTAACCATAATGAATGATTTGTTCATTTCAAAACTAGCTCTCTTTCTCTACAAGTTATTGATTGGAGACATGAACATCAATTGCAACCTTGATAGTTTGGAACATCGAAGAGAAATTGGTCATGTGCCTCTCTTTTATAAAAACTTTCAAGGGAGGTGTTGAAGTGACTTGGCGGTACATATCAGAATTACACGATGAACTGTGGCTGCTCATCGTTTTGAGGTTCAACTCGGTACACCTCGAACTTTCCTCTTTAAGAACTCTTTCATTTGAGGAACTGCGTTTATGTGGAATTACCTTCTTGATAACGTTTTTCGAAATGAAATTAATCTGCAGCGATTCAAATCCAACGTAAATCGCTATTTTCGCATAGGCACTGCTCTTAGAATGACTGAAGTATTTTCCTGTAGTGCTTATGTTTGTTTCTTGAAAAATATATTTTATTTTCGTCAATATATGTATAAATCTTGCGATTTATAAAACAGGATGGATTCTTCAGGAACTGGTGACCCTCTTGATTTTTTCATATCTATAGAAGGTGTCGAATTGAAAACTTTCCACCTTTAATATCTTCCTTGTAGTAAACAGTATGAGGAATAAAAAAACAGGTCAATATTATTGTCGCGGGGGGGGGAGCACTTTCAAGGACTATCTATAGCCCTCGTGGTTCAACCCTCTTTGAATTTTAAATGGGAAAGGCGTCAAGTGACAATTCTGCTCAATTCTGCTTCCAGTGGTACCCTGACTTGTTATTTTCTGACGAGCATTTTCCGAAAAATAACGTTGTAAACTAACAGAATCAATTATTAGTAGGCCTACAGTGAGATGCATGGTTTGACCAGAACTGGTACCTATATCTAGTCGAATTGAACAATATTATGCACTCTTAATGTTGTCGGCACTCTCAAAGGACCAATACATAAACATGAACCGGCAGCAAACCAGTTTCACGTGGACTGTAGACTTGGCGGTTCGTATTGGATAATTTTTACTAAGCGAGTTTTATTATTGGCTGAAGATTCATTAAATTGAAATTGAAGTTATGTTACGGTGACGAACAGAAATCGGGAAATGCGGCCTTGGTTATCGCCGTCGTGTTCAGTTCAGGAACTGATCGCGATGTGAGAGTTGAAACTCGATATTGGTTCATTCATAATAACTTAAAAATTTTGTTATCTGTTTGAAATGTGGCGTCCTTGGACAAGTACTGATAGTAATAATGAGTTTGATAACAACGCAGACTTTTTCAGTGTAATAATTCTAATAGCGATGGTGAATAATGCGAAAAATCGATACCAGTGAATAAGATTCGGATGACCTTGAATATTGAAACAGAGAGAGTATGTTTCAATGTATATAAGAATCTACATCTTAAGTTTGGTTTCAAGAGAAACAAACTATTACAAATAGTCAAACAAATCTTATGAGCGCAAGACGCGATGTGATACAGGGTTATCTAGACCCGTACATGTTCCTCTAATAAAATCATTGAAAAAAACAAAATAGCACTGTTAAAAAAAGCAATGAGATTCCGACAGCTGAAATCATAAGGAATGAATTGAATACTTCCGGCCATAACGTGAGCTGCTGTGACAAAATTCTTCAGAAGTGTATGAAGAAACTAGAATTTAGATGAAAAATAATGAACAAACGTCAAAGAGTTATGGAAAGCAGAAGAATAGTGGAATTGCGTAACAAATACTCAGAACAAATAACTAAATATAGACAAGAACCCGGCAAATTTCTATTTGGGCAAAACTTGGTATAACACTAACGATACAGTTAGGAAAGGTGTACGGCTAACATGCCTGCAAACAAAGATCACGGCTAATCATTGTGCATTGTGGAGGAAGTGACGATGGGTTCCGAATTCTTGAAATTATATGAAAAAAAACTTGAGGACTATAATGTTGACTATCATAAGAACATGGAAGCTAATATTTTTGAGGAATGGTTTGAAAACACATTGATCCCAAATTTGAATGCGAATAATGTAATAGTTCTTGACAACGCTTCCTTTCATTCGCGAAGCTCATCAAACTATCGAATAAAAATGGATAACAATTTGTATTTTGAAGATTACTATACCAAAATACAACTACTTGAATTTTTAGAGACAAAACCATTTGAAAAAGTTTTGCTCTTGAGAATATTGCTGAAAAATATGGACATACCATACTGAGACTTCTCCCTATTTTTGTGTTTTCAATCCCATCGAGTTGATTTGGAGAAAATTGAAACAAAGCATTCGGCATAAAAATAATTTTCCAAAATTTGATAAGAAGGTAATATAGCTAATTGAAGAATTCTCTTATATTACCGAAAGAGACTGACAGAAAAGTAATAAAAAAGTAATTTTAGTTGCAAAAGGCACTTCCATATTAATGATGAAAATAAATTCATTATTGATTCAAATGACGACAGAGATAGTGAAACAAGGATTATGGAAGAGGAATTATAAGAAGCTTTCAAAGAAAGTCAGTGAGGTGTTTTTGAGACGATCAATGCTTGCCGTTGGCAGTGATGGCCTGTTCTAGATTGTTTTTTCAATTCAACCGATCCTGTAGGTTTTTCAGTTTCTGACATAGCAATGTGGGATCAGCAAAAGACGGCCTGTGTATATATATATATATATATATGTAGTCGGTAGCCAGGACGGTAGCTGGTTGCGTTGTCGTGAGTGATTCGTTTCAGTTATTCAATCGATCATCTGGTGAAACGGTGGTTCGAGCCCAGAGGACGAACAATAGATTTTTACTGCCTATCGTCCAACTCAAACTAGGATTCGTACGTTAGAAGGTAAGGCTTCAATTATCCTCAGCTCGCACAAGTTTCGAGTTTTGAGGGTTGTCGTTCGTAAGAGAAATAACAGCTGGCTGACAGAGAAACAGATTTTTCATAAATATATAACGTGTCTTCCTACAGGGAAATCCCAACTTTGACAATTAGTAATGGTCCATCTTGTTGAAGCTACATCTGTCAAATCAGTTGTCATTTATTCAGTCTGTTTTTGCCAAATCACCATAGACAGATATATCATTCTGTCACGGAATGAGTTGAATCTACTCATGTTATCGATGACAGTACGTAATGACATTCATTCGCTTATTTGATTGAATTAAAGTCGTAATTGAGTGTTTTTTCATTATTTCGTCATTCAGATTCGGTTCTAAAGAGCTGATAAAGCCGGAATTATATTATTGTGTCGTGACGCGCCACAAGTTTATCGTATATGTTTAAAATTATATTACTAAAGTGCAGTGTGTCGGGACGCGATCTGTCGTGACAGCGATCGGTTGATCTAGCTAGAGCATAGTCGTTTGCATTTATTTGTGCACAAGATATCGGACTAACTTATTGAACTTGTAAGAAAATATGGCATTGCATTTTTGTAATATCATTTCCCACTATACTTTACTCAAATTGATTTTTTGACATCCTGAAATATTGATGAAATCTTTCTCCATCACTAGTAAATGATATTCGCTTCGACTACCTGTCAGATCATTTACTGGATGAACCCAATATTTTCTCTTTTTTTCTTTTTTTTTAAGTAAACTTTACATTAGCAGACACGCAAGATTTTCTTGAATATCACTATCCGAATCGGAAGAAAGCATTGTAGATGCTCGCATGCGTTTCCTCCACAGGTCACCACTGTATTGACTCGAAATAACTTCAGAACGCGCCCCGACACGACAGAATAGTCTGCACACTTGCCGTCACGTTGGTGAGCATCACAACAAACCACAACATATTAATGTAATTTCAGCTTAAGGCAGGTATCTTACCGCGAAACACCGGATGTCTGCCAGTGAGGATGACACTGTTCCATGTAAAGCCGGAATTATATTATTGTGTCGTAGTGTGTCGTGACGCACCACAAGTATATCGTATGCATACATTTAGTATGTTTGGAATTATATCACTAACGTGCAGTGTGTCTGGACGCGATCTGTCGTGACGGCGATCAGACGACTCCCGATCGGCGTTAGAACGATGGTAGGGTTATGACGC